GGAAAGTACATTTATTATGCCGAGGGGGGGGGATGAAGATGTTAAGGGGGGCTCCGAAATATTTTCTGGCTTTAAAGGGGGGGGCTCTGAAAGTTCTTGATATACTGAAGGGGGGGCTCTAAACTTTTCAAAGGTTTGACCCCAGCAAATTAAAGTTAAATTTTTACATCAGTTTCAGGTAAAATTTGCATAATAAAGTAATTATTTTTGTGAAATGATAACCATTTTTGTAAAATACAGTCAATTTACATGCAATTTGTTTGCGAAATTTGCTTTAGAAAACGCCAGAAATTCAGTCCTAGAGCTTCGAAAATGTAAAAATTTTCTGGGGGAGGACAAAAACTTAGTATAAGAGTGACAATCAATCACAAAAAGCTTTATTATAATTATTACACGTATAATCCTCTGACATCCCCCACCCCCCAAACGTCAGATGCTTTGCTACGTCCCTGATATTTGTATTCGAAACCGATTTCAGTTTTAAGATATCCTTAGTCTGCTCTTCTAAATGGATACATGAAATCACCTATAGCTTATTTTAAATTTTTTGGCGCCAGGTTTGTGAAGTAACTTACGCGCCAAAAAGTAGCAGTTCCAAAAACAAAAAGCATATACGATTTGCAAGAATGATGTGTTCTATGTTTATGGGATATTTCGTACAAACGGGATGGAAATTAAAGAAATTGAAGCATAATGGCACTTTTGCATGCATTTTTGACAGGCATACAAAGACATTTGCAACAGATGCCGGGAGATACGTTGGGTGGGGGCGACATACTGTAAGGTTCCAGCACATTACCCTGATCCAGGAAATCCTGGCCACTACATGAACGTGTTCAAGACTCCGAATACTCTGAATGATGGACAACAACAAGCTGTTGATAATTTCACCCCTAGAGCCAATTTAAAATGTTTTAAAGACGGTGCCATTTCATCTGGCGCTAGTGAGGTGAAAGAAGCAGCAGATCGGAACCTACAAATTCGAGGGGTGGTATTTAAGCTTGCGCAAGGCAAAGTTTGAAGACCCATATCTTCGCAATCATGCAATTAATCAAAAATCGCCACGAGGAAGTTGAGGAGAATTCTTTTAAGAACAACATATATTAATTT